CGGAGCCCAACAGGTTGAGGCTGCGGTGGCCGGGAGCGGCAACTGCACTCCAGTCTGGGCGACAGAGTGGGACTCCAACTCAAAAACAAACAAACAAACAAAAAAAACCCTCAACCTGAACAAGCAAGGTCACCCATTTCAGGCAGGGAGCACGGGCCAGGTCTAGCCTGACCAGCTTCTCTGTTGTACTTCCTTCCAGGTGCCCTGGCTACACCCTGGAAGCAAGTCACTTTTCAACTCTTTTAACTGGCTCATGACTGTAATTTCTTCTTTGAGTCAAGGGACCAAGATGGGAAGAGGCAATGGTGGGCAATCAAGCCCTAATGGGAGACAACACGGCTTAGGGCTTAAAGAAAACCTGGGTTCAAAATCTGGTCCTGCCATCTTCCGGCTGTGGCTATGTGTCACTTATGTAAGTAACTGGGAGCCTAAGTTCTCTCTAAGCCTCAGTTCCTCCATCTTAAAATTAAAGACCAAGCAAAGGAACGCATGTAAAATGCTTTGTACAGGGCCTGACCCACACGTAACAAGTGTTCAAATGGCAGGTGTATTAATAATATCCAACTCAGCACACCTGGAGACAGATGATGGTAGGGTTGGCCTGGACTACCACCTCCCTGATCACACATTCAGAGGGGCTCAGCCTAGAGCAGGGAGTGCTTTTTGAAGATGACCCTCCAACTGAAGGCGGCCCATGGGTGAAGGCCAATCAGCCATCAGCTCAGAGACATCACCCCTCACACCGGACCAGATCCCTTGGATCTAGTTTCCTTCCCCTCTCTGCAGCTTGCAGGGAAAGGGGAGGAGAAAACAGTCAAATCAGCTGAAGCCTTCAGGCCTGAGAAGCAGCCATTTCTCCAGGCTGGCCTGTTGCTCCAGGATCCGCCCCCCTGCTTCTTCCCATTCCAGCAGCTTCCCTCCCCTTACCCCCAGGAAAGGAGAAAGGAGCCAGAGGATGTCCCTCAGAGGAGGAAGTCAGGATGAGGGCCAAGGGAGGGTGCAGTGCCGGCAAGGCCAAGGCCCCCACCCACCCCCCACCCTAGAGGGAACAAAAGACAGGAGGCTGGGAGGTGCTCAGTGCGTCCCTGCCTCAGTACCAGTTTTGACCAGGCAGCCCACCAGGCTCAAAAGCCTGGCATCCAACCCCATACAGAAACCAGGAGGGCCCCTCTCATCCCATCACAGTCTGGAACTACCCACCTTTTCTGTCCTATCTCCCCTTGGCTAGAAGTGTGTGGGGGTGGCCTCGATCCCACATCCCAAACGCACAAAAACCCTCTAAGGTTTCTAAGGGCCTGTGCTTCAGCCCCGAGGCCCACCCCCCATTTCCCCGTAGCTGGGCTCCACCCCTCCCCCGTTCTTGTCTCCGCCCGACCTCCGAGGCCCCAGGGCCCCAGATCCCTCCAGCATTTCTCAGAGCATATCTCCACCGCGACCTCAAGGTCCCCAGATCAGGCCCCGCTTCCTCTCCTTCAAGACCTGTGGGGCCTCTTTCCCCGATGGCATCCATCAGAGACCCTCTCCTCATCCCCTTCCTCCCCGACCCCTGTCTCCCAGGCCGGCGCCCCTTCAGGCCTGGAGGATTTAGAGGGGTTCCGTCTCACTTAAACACTCCCCCTCCCTCCCAACACCACCTTTATGTCTAAATCCCGCCCCCAACCCGAGCCTTCTTTTTTGATCGCGTACCCGGGTTCACAAACGCCCTCCCCGGGCCCCGAACTGGAACCCTTTCCCCGGACCTGCCGGGCCCAGACCCCTTTCCCTGCCTCCCCCACCCCAGGCCTCCATCCTCGCAATCGCAGACCCCTCTCCCCCCTCCCCCCTCCCGGTTGCGGAGTATAGACCCCTCCCCAACTCCCCCAAGTCCGACTCCCGCCTCCGGCCATCACCCCAGTTTCGGGTGCCCGCGCCCACAGCACACCGTATACGTGTCCACGAGCTCGGAGCCCACTACGCGCGCCTCCTTCGCCGGCTCGGTTTCCCGCTCGGGTCCG